TAATTCTAGAGAGATTAAAGAGAGTTCTTTGAAGTTACTCTTTTAATCATATCGCTTAAAAGTTTCCCTTTTGTTGTATAATCCTTATCATGAATGACTAAGTCTTTATTATTAATTAATTAAAATAATCAATATTGTTAAAGACATTCTTCAACAGTACTTTTGTGCTATCGTCTTTAACATGTAAGAAATAATAATATTTTATTAAAATATATTCTTTAAAATAATTAAAGTATTGTATGCAATTAATTGATTATTTTTTTATATCAAAATAATGTCCTTGCTTTAATAGAATTTTTTATTAACTAATTAAAATAATCAATATTTTTAAAGACATTATTCAACAGTGCTTTTGTGCTATCGCCTTTATCATGTAAGAAATAATAATATTTTATTAAAATATATTCTTTAAAATTATTAAAGTATTGTAATGCAATTAATTTATTATTTTTTTTATCAAAATAATGTCCTTGCTTTAATAAATTTTTTTATTAATTAATTAAAATAATCAATATTTTTAAAGACATTCATCAGCAATGCTTTTATGTTATCGTCTTTAACATTAAGAAATCATAATATTTTATTAAAATATATTCTTTAAAATTATTAAAGTATTATAATGCAATTAATTGATTTTTTTTATCAAAATAATATCCTTGCTTTAATAGAATTTTTTATTAATTAATTAAAATAATCAATATTTTTAAAGACATTTTTCGACAGTGTTATTGTGTTATCATCTTTAACATGTAAGAAGTAATAATATTTTATCAAAATATGTTCTTTAAAATAATTAAAGTATTGTATGCAATTAATTGATTTTTTTTATCAAAATAATGTCCTTGCTTTAATAGAATATTTTATTTATTAATTAAAATAATCAATAATTTTAAAGACATTCTTCAACAATACTTTTGTGCTATTGTCTTTAACATGTAAGAAATAATAATATTTTATTAAAATATATTTTTAAAATCATTAAAGTATTGTAATGCAATTAATTTATTATTTTTTTATCAAAATAATGTCCTTGTTTTAATAGAATTTTTTTTATTAATTAATTAAAATAATCAATATTTTTTAAAGACATTTGTCAGCAATACTTTTGTGTTATTGTCTTTAAACATATAAGAAATAATAATATTTTATTAAAATATATTCTTTAAAATTATTAAAGTATTGTAATGCAATTAATTGATTATTTTTTTTTATTAAAATAATGTCCTTGCATTAATAGAATTTTTTATTAATTAATTAAAATAATTAATATTTTTAAAGACATTCGTCAACCATGCTTTTGTGCTATCCTTTTTAACATGTTAAAATTTTGAGTTACACGTGAAAAAATGTTTCAGAAAAGTAAGACGGTCTTGAAAATTAATGTATAGTTAAAAAATTTATAATAAGTGAAAACGAAAACAAATTGATATAATATTTTTATGAAATATTATATTTAAGAATTCTTTAAACTTTTAATTTAAGTTAATTTTAATTTATCATAAATATTTAAAATTAAATTTTAACATTCTAAAAATAAATTATCGATAAATAAAAATAATCATGTGCTATAATTTAAATTATTTACCAAAAATATAAAATATAATTTATAGTTTATATTAATTTATACAAAATTTAAATATAATTTATATATTCAAACATAATATTTATTTATTTGTATATATAAATTATTCTAAATTTAATTAAATATATTAAATATTTAATATGTAAATTGCAGATACTAATATAGTAATTTTTAATTATTTATAATTAAAATCTATATTAATAATAAAAGATAAAATGAAAAAAAAAATTGTTTACAAGAAAAAAAATATAAACACAAAGTAAAGTTAAATATAAATTTGAAATGTTAATAAATTTTAAAAGTATATATTTTACTATTTGAAATTAAAAAAAATTGATAAAATAATAATTTAATTTTTATATATTAGATTCATAAGGATAAAATTCCCATTTATTCAAATTCCCTATCTTCATTCTTGTTTTCTTTTCCCATTTTATTTTCTTTCTCTCTTATTTTCTTATCAACTAAGTGAAAGAATTTTTATTTTGAAATTTGTGTTTTTGTTTCTTTCTTTTTCTCTCTCTCTCTTTTCTCATTTGCTAACTTATTTTCATTCTAAACAAAGTGTTAATCTCGTTGATATTATGTTTTTTTTTCTTATGTTCTTCCTTTTATTTCATTTGAACAATGATAATTTAATAAAAATGTTTTCTTTTAAATAAAATAAAAAATTTGTTCTTAATAGAAAATACAATATTTGTTAAACATAGTATCTTGCATATATTAGTTTAGTAATTAAAAATACAAATTATTATTGAAAAAATTCAAGTCTTGATCTCATATTAATTAAATATGGTATCAAAATTTATTCTAATAATTTTTGTTTAACTTATCAAGTTATTTATTATTGAACTATTCATAAATATCTAATCTTATAAATCTTATTCAAGATGTCTAGTTGAAAATTCTTACATTAATGAGTAATATGGTAAAATATAAAGTATATATGTGAGAAAAATAATCTGTTTATATTATTAATGAAGAAATTAGATATAAAATAAATATGATTTATAATAGATCTAAGTATTTTAAAAAAATATCATATACTGAGATGTGTTATATAAATCTTTGTGTAATTCACTCTAAAAATCTTAAAATTTAATGTAAATTTGAGAAGTGTTATTCAAACATATGATTAGATTTATAAATGTAGTTATAATTATTTATTGTAATTAATATTATCGTTTATTTCATTTATTATGTTATTAGTGACAAAATTAGGTACAAAATCAATATGTTTTTTTTTCTATGGAGACATGTCTTTTTGTCGAGTCAACTATTATATAACAGTAAAACAATCAACATGGTTTATAATTAAAGTAAATATTATTTATGAAAAGTCATATATTAAAACGTATTATTTTTTTTTTTTATATAATTGACACGCGTACTTCAAACTTTGAAAGCTACTTTAATCTATGATTAAATTTGCAAATGCATTTGCAATATTGACTAAATTTCTTAGTTAACATGAATTACTGTATTTTTTATTTTCTATAATCAAGACAATAGAAATGTAATTATCATAATGAATGTAATAAAATAATGAAAAAATATAATAATTATTATAATTATTTTTTATTATATAATTTATATAATTATAAAACAGTCAAGTAGATTTATGATTTCTTTAGTGCAATCAATTTAAATACATATTTATTAAAGATAAATAGAAATAATACATACGAAAATATATACATTTTTATACCCATTCAAATTTAATTAAAATAATTTATAGAATATCCTCGCCATTAAAATAAATTTAAATTCAAAAGCATTTTTTTAATTATCTATTCAATTCAAATTCACGTAAATTCAGCAAATAAATTTTAGAAAAGTTTTTAAATTAATTATTTTTAATTTGAAATGATTAAGGTAATAATTATTTAAATAACAAGTACTCAATGAAATACTGAAATTCTTAAATTAATAGTCATATAAAAACATAAATGTTCAGGTGTTTTAGATTGATTTTTTTATGACATTTACCTCCACTAGTTGTAACTTGTTAAGGAAAATCTTCTCCCACCGCTTCTCTTGCTTATATTGACACATACAATCACGTCCATTCATATTGTACTGACACACATACATGTCCATTCAAATTTCTTCTAGCACAAGTTAATCTCACCTTAAAATTATTTTTTATTGAAATTTAAATGTTAAGAAAAAATAAGAATATTTATCTTAAACTTAAATAGTTAAATATATATAAATCAAAATCTTAACCAATAATTGCAACCTTAAAAAAATAGGAATTTACGTAATATTTTTAGAATCAGTTTTTTCTTAGTATTATAATAATATTTTGTTAGTGTGTAAGTGGTATCTAATAAATATAAATTAATCACTAATTCTTAACTTTTAAAATATTATCTGGGTCACATTCATAGAATAAAATAATTTTCAACAATTAGTCATCATTTGTGTTATCATTATTTTCCCATCACTGATTAATCAATTATCATCACATTAAATAAGTTAAAAAATGCAATGAATGATTTGTGATCTATAAATTTAGAATCTGACAATAAAATCTAAAAATTAATAACTATAAAATATAGAAACTGAAATGTTTAAAACCAAAACTTATCTTAATTTAAAAACGTGGAGCTGACAACTAAAATAAGCCATGAGGGGTGAGTTATCGAACAGTCAAAGTTTCAAACAATTATAACGAAAATTTTAAACTATGTATAATTCATTCAAGCTGCTAATCCACTCTCATGTGACTTATGACAAAAATTTTAAGCATATAAGGCTATTATATATATATATATATATATATATATATATATGAGAGAAGAGATTTTTTTATTCTAAGAGTAAGTTTACCTAGATTTATTTTATTCAATAACTCATATTTGATTTATGCATTAAGAACTTTAAATTGAACGATTGAATTGTTAAAATTTAATATAGAACATGAATTATTGAATAGAGTAAGTCTCCTAGAGTAAAAGGTTCATTCCTTTATATATATAGAGTTAATCATCTATACACTGTCAGTTTAAAGTTTTTTACACTAACAGTCAATCAGAGTCGTTAATAGTACATTTTTTATTTTAATTTAATTAAATAAATAGATGAAAAATATTATTAACGACTCTGATTAGTGTAAAGTTTTTACACTGACAGTATATATATATATAAATTATCTGGCTTGTTTGGTTAACTGGACGCCACGGCGCGCCGCCTAGTCTTACCTACGGTCGAAAAATGGAGGATTAGTAGGTGAAGAAGAGAAATTAAAAAAAGAAAAAAGAAAAAAAAAAGCATTGAAGCAATTTGACCTGATTGCGGAGTAGGTGGAAGTGACGAAAACACCCTTTCCCCAACTACCACCATGGACACACACAGCGCAACAACCCCACAGGAAGAGCAGAGGCGTCTCCTTATAAAACCCACACCAAACTCCGCAAACCCTCTTCAGGAGCGTCACCCTATTCTCCCAAAGCAAATACAATGGCCATCTCCTCCACTTCCAACTCCCTCATTCCCACCAAATCCCTCATCCACCAAACCCACCCCCTCATTCCCTCCACCAACCTCAGGCCCGCTCTCAGGCCCAACCACTCCCCCTCCCCCATCTCAGCCGTCCACGCCGCTGACCCTGCCAAAAACCCCCTCCTCACCGACAAGCCCAAGTCCCAGCCCCCTCCCCCTCCCCCCGCGGCCCGCACCCTCAAATGGGCCGTCGACAGCTGGAAGTCCAAGAAGGCCCTGCAGCTCCCCGACTACCCCAACCAGGACGACCTTCACTCCGTCCTCCGAACCCTTGACGCCTTCCCTCCCATCGTCTTCGCCGGCGAAGCCAGAACCCTCGAGGAGCGTCTCGGCGAGGCCGCCCTCGGAAATGCCTTCCTCCTCCAAGGCGGAGACTGCGCCGAAAGCTTCAAGGAGTTCAATGCCAACAACATCCGTGACACCTTCCGTATCCTCCTCCAAATGAGCGTCGTCATGATGTTCGGTGGCCAAATGCCCGTCATCAAGGTAAACAATTACCAAACCAACGCATGCTCTCGCTTTCTGTTGTCGATTGAATTTTTCAGGAGTGTGAGTGAGATCTGTTTCTTGCTTAGGTGGGAAGAATGGCGGGGCAATTCGCCAAGCCTAGGTCGGATCCGTTTGAGGAGAAGAACGGCGTCAAGCTTCCCAGTTACAGAGGGGATAACGTTAACGGAGACGCGTTTGATGAGAAGTCAAGGATTCCGGATCCGCAGAGGATGATTCGGGCTTATTGTCAAGCTGCGGCTACGCTCAATCTTCTTAGGGCTTTTGCTACCGGAGGTTACGCGGCTATGCAGAGGGTTACTCAGTGGAATTTGGACTTCACCGAGCATAGTGAACAGGGAGATAGGTAATTTTTTTTTTTTTGCAATTGGAATAATCTTAAGTTAAATTAAAGGTTCTTTCATTTAATTTTTTTACTTTTGGTTACATGAATGAAATCTAGGTTAAAGGAAAAATCTAAATTCTGCTTCCTTCTTTTGGTTGTTGAGATTTCATAACACGGGATAAAAATTAACTTGGCTGTTGAAAAACAACGGTGTTTTTACTTTTTCTTACATAGGAGATAAGGGAAAGGGGTGGTACATGGTAGATCATACATGTTTGTGTGGCGTGTGTGGTGGAGGGTATTGGGTTGTTGTTTTGTTTCTCTCTCGAGTGGCGACTCGTCCGGGTCGCGATTTCGTGAAAAAGTATGTTAAATCAGCACGAGTTGCATGAGTTTTTCGCACAATGGTATCTGATGATGATAGTTTTTTACACAAAGTGGTTTATTTCACATATCTGACGTAAGAGATGACTTTGGAGGAATTTCATTGGTAACCCCAATTTTCTCGTCAATTCTCACTCACCCACAGTTGAGAGATGTGATATTTGAAATAATATGTGTCTTTTTTCCTTTAATTTTTTTTTTCGTAAAGTTATGTCTCTACCACGGACACGGAAAGCAGAACTTGATTATTGCTCTCCTTACTTTTCTTTTATATTGACCCTTCCACCCACTTAAAGGACAGCCTGTTTTTGATTTCTTCTTTTGCTAGGTGATTTGACATCTTACAAAAAATATAAAAGGCTATAAAACAAAAGTTATGTAAAACAAATATTTTTCCAAAATTATTAGATTGGATGCATATTTGTGTAGTTGATGTGAATATGCACATGTGAAGTTAAATTTGATGGTGCATTAAAGAACCGAGAGTGTATCTTTTTCCTAATTTTGTAGTGTTTAACTAGAATAAGATACCTTAGATTGCTGGGCAAAACAAATATTTTTCCAAAATTTAGATTGTATACAAATTTATTTATATAGTTGATGTGAATATGAATATATGGAACTAAATTTAATGGTGCACAAAAGAACCGAGAGTGTATGGATTTCCTAATTTTTTAGTATTTAACTAACAGACAAATACCATAAATTGCTGCAGTATATTTTTCGAAAAGCAGAAAATTTTCACCATCTGACCATCCCTGATTTCTTTCACGCACTTTTAACTTCAGCACCATGATGCTTATATCTTTTATTTTTACATTTTCCTAGTTTGAGAAAATACATTTAGATTGTTTTTGCTGTGTGCACTTTTGTGGTTTTATTATCTAAAAAGGAAGAAGTATAAGAATGTTGTAATAAAAATGGCGTATAGAAGGCAATATTGTTGCTTCACTGCTTTCTTGATAACTGTTGATTTAAGGAATCTGTCTGTTTTCTTTTTTTTTTTTTTTTTTTTACAAAGTTTATTATGTTAATCTTCAATGATAGTGTGGCTTGAGGTAAATTAAAGTTGTTTTTGGTATGACAGGTACCGAGAGCTTGCTAACCGAGTTGATGAGGCTCTTGGATTCATGGCTGCTGCTGGGCTCACAGTGGACCATCCCATAATGACAACAACTGAATTCTGGACATCCCATGAATGCTTATTGTTGCCTTATGAACAATCCCTCACTAGGTTGGATTCAACTTCTGGTCTCTACTATGACTGCTCAGCCCATATGCTTTGGGTTGGGGAACGAACCAGGCAGCTGGATGGTGCCCATGTTGAGTTTCTAAGAGGAGTTGCTAACCCCTTGGGAATTAAGGTTTGGACATCATTCTTATCATTCAACTACACTTTCATTCTTATGTATCTTATATTTGCTTTACATTTTTTGGCATGTAAGTGGATTTATTTGCTTTATTGAAGTTTATGTTTTTGATACACTTGCAGGTAAGTGATAAGATGGATCCAAATGAGCTTGTTAAACTCATCGAGATCTTGAATCCTCAAAACAAACCAGGGAGAATAACTGTGATCACGAGGATGGGAGCTGAAAATATGAGGGTGAAGCTTCCACATCTCATTAGGGCAGTGCGCAGGGCAGGGCAAATTGTCACCTGGGTCAGCGATCCTATGCATGGAAACACCATAAAGGCTCCATGTGGTCTTAAAACTCGTCCCTTCGATGCTATCAGGGTATAATTCTCGTCCCTTAGAATATCTGTGATCAAGTTAAAGTTATTGTCGTTTTCCTCAGAATTCTGTTTTTCGTTTTTACTCTCTGCTAGTCAAAGTCTTTGGATAAAATAAGTTGCCTCTTAAATCTTCTTTTGAAAGAAGGAAAAACAGCGAAAAGAGGTCTTAGAAAATGATGCATGCATATCTCATACCGGTAAACACAGAAAGGGAGAAAGAAATAGAAAAAACAGAAATATAAATATTGATCGGAGATATGATGAGAGAATAAAAATAAAGAAAAATGAGGTATATGAATAGAATATACTGGCATCTGAACTGAGGTCGTGAATGGTGGGCTACCAAACCTTAGGCTTGTAGTGTTTAGAAGCAGGAGTGGTGGTAGGTCGAAAAAGGGGTTCTTGTGAAAGTAGGTGAAAAGTGTGGTAGTCGACTAGTCGAGTAATTTTTGGTTCCAAATAATAATATCATTGTGGGGATGGCTGCATTTCAGTATCGTTAGGTAGGATTGGACGGTAGGGGCCCATGTGGGTGTTAATGTTTTTATTCTAGTCAAATAATAGAAAGAAACAACAAACATGATTGCACATGTCACTATATTGAGTATAGTGAGATAAAAAGTATGGAGAAATTTGTTGGTGATTATTTATTGAGGCCACTAACTTTTTTCACTGAATTAATTGGACAGGCTGAAGTGAGAGCATTCTTCGATGTGCATGAGCAAGAAGGAAGCCACCCAGGAGGGGTTCATCTAGAGATGACGGGTCAAAATGTGACTGAGTGCATTGGTGGGTCAAGGACGGTCACATTTGATGACTTGAGCTCACGTTACCACACACACTGTGACCCAAGGCTCAATGCTTCACAATCTCTTGAGCTTGCTTTCATCATCGCTGAACGTTTGAGAAAGAGCAGGATCAGATCGCAGCAACCTCTTGCCTCTGATGGACTGTAAAAGTGCCTTCAAAACCCACAAGAAGATAAATATCTTTGTTCTTTTTTTCCCCTAAATATTTTATTAATCGATGGTTGCGTCACTTTGATGCTGCACCTGGGTGTGTACTGGAACGGCTAGATAGCTTGTGTTGTGTTCTGTTTGTATGTGTATACTACCTAGTAATGCGTTTGAACATCCAAGGACAAGAGTACTTTTATTAATAATAATGAAACGAAAACGTTTCAATTGAGTTGGCTACTCCAGTCTATGACGTCTTCTATGTCGTGGGTTGCTCAAGTTTCTGCGGTGCTCAGTCATTTTTCTGATATTTCTCTTTACAAGTATTTGATTCAAGGTAGTTTCTGCTCAGTCATTTTCCGGTGTTTCTCTTTGGAAGTATTTTATTCAAGGAGAGTGATAGAAGACTACAAATTTCTCATATTTTAAAGAGAATAAAAATGTTTTTCAATAACAAAGGATTTTCAGAAATGTTAATTTATGAATAAATATATCAATAAAATTCTATTATCTTATGAGAATGAATATTTTCTGTTACATCATATGGTCTACTGATCTACGTTAGATATCTAATAATAAATTAATCAATGATCCAAATCTTTTGTCCTAAGTCCCAACAATATTTTCAAATTAGTTTTTAATATATTTATAGTATCTTCATCCAACTCTTTTTATGTATAAAAAAAAAAGCTCTATTTAATGGATAGGGAGAATATACCCCATCTATACCAGACACGCAAAATACAAATAGAAAAAAAATTGACATTAAGATCAAGTAAAAATAAACAATCCCCTCTTTTATCATAAACAAAAACTTTCTTCAAACAATAGCTCCGATATGAGAATTCAGTTTATAGAAAATCATTTTTGGAAAATTAACCTTTGAAGGGAATTGTTGAGTTTCTTATAAAATTTTAGTTGATGTGGTATATGGATAAGGTGAGACATATTGACTACTGTTAATGCGGGTATGGGTCGTGTATAGAGTTATGGAAAAGATGAAGGGGCTAAAGGAGGGTTTGGAATATGTACATGTATTGGTGGTCCCTATTAGACTTGAGGGGTACAACACAAATCTTGGTTGTCTAGTAATCTGGAATATGATATTTCCATATTACGGTTAACCACGTGGAATTTTTATAATATGAATTGCACTTCTGGTGCTATTAAATAAATAAAATATCCTTTGCTATTTCAAAAAAAAAATTGACTATTGTTGATTTGTATATGTACAGGATTAAGACATACATGTATAAATCGATCAAATTAGAGTAAGATACAAAATTAGAGACTAAAATCCTTAATTAAGTACTGAAGGGTATGATATTTGGAAGATAGTCAGTGAACTAATTTTATAAGTGGCTTAGTTATACTAACTAATGTTGTGATAGGCTCACACTTAAATTATTCTACCTTGATAGAAATACTAGACTTCCTAATTTAAATGACAACACCTAAGAAACTATGTTTTAAGGGATTGATATCCCAATTGACTATTGATCTAATTGGATCGAAAAAATTGAGTTGTTGGTTCAGTAGGATCAAACTACTTATATTACTCACCTATATTATAGGAGATCTTCTAGTAAAAATGCATAACAACACATATAGTTGATTTGTTGAGCATATATGATTAGGTTGTTTGATCGTGTGATGCATACGTTATGTTATAGTGTTGTTTAAGTTAAATAATAAGTCGTGCATTGATGTTGCTGAAGTTTATATGCTTACTTTCTATTTGAATGATGTTGTATTACATTGTTGAGTTTTTCTATGTTGAGTAATATGTTATATTGTGTTGACAAGTTGCAGGTTAACATTGTGCTGATGTGAAATAAGTTGTTTCTATTGATAGTGTAGTAAATTTTAAATTCTATGTTGACTATGTTGGTTCCTTTAAACTTTAGTTTATCCTTTCATGTTTCTATATGATTAGACTACGATGATCATATTTGATACGAAAGTAGAGTAAGGATATATTATGGTTGAAGTTCATTTTGAGGCCATGCTAGGTGATGACGATGTGGATCTTTTGAGTTACCTTAGTGTAGTTGGATTGTAATAATGTTGTTTGATCGACAGTTATGATTTTTTTTTTCATATTTTAGTATAGGATTTTTGTGTGTATATATATGTGTGTATACACATGTAATATAGTGCAGTCGTTGATAAATAAAATTTTATTTATATATATATATATATATATATATTTTATGATATGTATATTCAGGTATTGTAAGTATATGAATCTTAGGTAGTTATATTTATTTTCTTTACTGCTAGTAGTTGGATCATTATGTGTAATGACCTGATGAGTCGTTACAATCCAATTTATCTATTAACATTTTTTTTGTGGATGAATATTTAATTCAAATATTTGTGAATGGAAATAATATTTTAAATTTTTTAAAAATATATTTTTGAAATATTTTATTTATTTATTTATTATAAATTATTACATCTTATGTAACCTTTTAAAATTTAAAAGATTTTTTTAAGTCAAAATAATTTTTAAAATCTCAATCTAATAAATATCTCATTATAATCTAATAGATTTTGAAAAAGTAATGAATATATCACTAAGTATCTATAAAGTTATGATAGATAAATTAAATTAAATTTAATATTTATTTTTATTATAACGAATAGATCAAATAATTTTATTTATAAATACATCAAATGAATGATAAATAAACTGATTCTTTTGTGACCTTATATTTTCAAAATAATATTTCTTTCATCCTTACCTGTTTTCTTTTCCAATTCAACGCCACAAAACGGAGCATTACTTTCTTCAGAGATTTTACATGTAACAAAAGATATTATTGTAATAATTAAAAAATACTATTTTTAAAGTCAGTTATAATTATAATTTTTAAAAATTTAATTAAAGTAACTTCTTAAAGGAATCAAACCTTTTTTTTTAATATTCTATTTTTAATATTAAATTAGCACAATAAAAAAATTAAAACATTTATAAAATAAAAACAGTTTTCTCTATAAACAAACTAAAAGTTTAACACTTCTATACTCAATTGGAGAGGATATTTGGTAGCGATAATTTAACAACAAAAGCTGAATTTTGGAGAAATTGTATCTATGTAATTTCTTTGTATAAAAATAAACAATAAAAAGAGAAACAGAAAAAAAAATGCATGATTTAAATATGTTTTTAATTTTTTAAATTTAGAATAAATTTATTATTGGATCCTATTTAAAATTATTATTTTTAGTTCTTGTCATTTTAAAAAAATTTATTTTAATCCCTTGAGTAGCTAATAACATATATAAAAGTGACAGATTGAGACAATTATTTAATATCAACTGAATTTAATATAATGTTTTCATTAATAAGAACACTAATAGACTGATTTTATAAGAAAATATTAATAGATTCTCTAATAAAATTTGAGCATAAAAATTAAAATAAGATTTTTTAAAATTATAAAGATTAAAAAGATTAATTTTAAATTTAAAAAATTAAAATTAAATTTATCTTAAATTTGAATGACAAAAACATATTTAAATCTAAAATAATTAATGTAATGACATCCCTTTATAAAATACTATTATAAAAGTTATAGTATGAATAATGAGTTAATCACCTATACATTGTCAGTGTACACTAGTACAAAAAAGATAATTTATGTCGGTTATTTTAAGCTTTTTACGTCAGAAAAAGGTCCGACATAAATGTGGGAGATGTAAATTTATGTCGGCTGTGATAACCAACGTAAATTTACGTCGGACATTCACAAGAATCGACGTAAAAAAGTTCGAAGCAAAAAAAAAAAAACATAACGCGTACAAGCAGAACGGGCCGTTCTCCAATCAGAACGGCCTCTTCTGCTTGGAGAACGGTCCGTTCTGCTTGCAGATCCACCCATTTTCTACCTAGTATTAACTAATATATTAACAAACAATGATCTACCCAAACGCGAAGAAGAGGATAATATTAACTAATATATTAATAGATCAATACATACATTTATTTTCAACATATTAGCTAATATATTAAGAAAGGATTTTCTAAACAAACCTCAAACGCGAGCCTAATGCAATCGGTCAAAAACTCAAGAACCATCCAAACGCGCAAACATACACTCAGATGCAATACACTCAAACGAAATCTTAACTCAGAAAACTCGAATGACACATACACTCAAAGCTCTCTTGTTTAAATATTAACACGCGCGCGAATACAATTTGAAATTTGTAGATATTTTACGTCGGCCCCTATGAGGTCCGATGTAAAAAAGTTGGACTTAATTACAAAAATGCCACTGCGTTTGTTTAACGTCAGATTTTTCTTTGTCCGACGAGAATAGAGTGACGTAAATTACTATTTTTCTACTAGTGGTAAAAAATTTTACACTGACAATTAATCATATCTTTTAAATTATTTTATTATTTTTATTTAATTAAATAAACAAATGACATGACACTATTAAAAAATATGATTAGTTGTTGGTATAAAATTTTACACTGTCAGTATATAGATGATTAACTCATGAATAATATATCTCTAAACTTGATGTGTTTTGACCACATGTTTAGACTTGAATACGAGAGATGCCGGCTAAATGGACAATGCCTTTTTTAGTGGCTACGATGAAGATCGAGATTTTGAACAAAATTTTTAAACTCATTTTTTTATTTTTGACAAAATTTAGATACTCATGTAATAACTACTTTCTAAACCACTAATGTTAACAACAGAACTTAAAATTTAAAATATACATACAAAGTCTTGATTTCAAACTTGATTAAAATTTAGATACTCATTTTTTTTGACAAAGTCTTGATTAAAATAGCAGCTATCATCTTTAATTATATGGTATCTTTTCATTTTTTTTATTTATAAATAAAAGCTGAAAGAAAATGGTCATACAAGTGAGGTATCATAATTAAAATGAAACAATACAATGGGGAGGGTTTTCCTGAGAGTCTGAGACTTGAAATCATGGCATCCTAACCACACCCTTCATTGTAGGGATCTTTCAACTATTGAGCACTCAATACTTCTCCTTTCCTGTATCCATACGTGCCAAGAACTTTCTTCCTACTTCAAGGCTACTTATCTGGATTAGAATATACTCATTGAAATGTTGTCATGATAAGGTGAGATATTGAGGTGAACTTGATTTGATATTGCTTGCTGTGTAATTTAGATAGGTTTAAACTTTATAATTGGATTTGATGTATTTTTAAGATAAATTTAAATTATGTTTGGGTTGTCTGATTTGTTTTGACATATAATACTCTCTTATAAAATATTTTTTTTTGAATTATTGTACATTAATATTAAAAACTTAGTGATAATTTTATAAGATGATATATATTTATAATGTAATTATTTATTTAAAAATAAATAATATATATACATATATTATATAAATTACATCTTCATTTAAGATTTGTACTTATTTTATTTTATAATTTAATAATACATAATGTTAATATAATATAACAGTTAAATCAATTTCATCTTTTTAATATATTTTGGATGTTGAATTTAGACTTTTAAAAATAACTTACAAAATTTCAAGTCAGAATTCGTAAAGATAAATTCAACTTAACCCTATTTATGCTCACCCTAGTGTGACAACCGATCAAATACCTTCAATAATTGCAAAAAGAAAAAAACTTTTTTACATGTTGGGTTGAAATTATTGAGTTTTCTCCAAAAACATCCGATCAATCATAGACATAAAGGATAAGATATATGAGTCATCCACTAGCTGTTTAAATTTTCCATGTTCATGACCTTTTTCCTGCCTTAAAATATCTCTTGATAGCGATTACAAATTAGTGACATGTTTTTCAGAGTTCTCTCTGCAAATACTGTGCTCATATTTTAGTTTTCATATCTTGCCTGAAAATTTGATGAAATTTCAGTTCTTTAATAAGATTGTGAACCTTTATCCTGCACTGGACTATGGCCCTCATAACATTTAAAATTCGTAGAAGAAATTCAGAGAGTAGTAGTCTTTTGATGTAACTTCACCATATGGAAAATTAACTGATCTTAGTACATGCAATGTTTTAGACTTTAATTTTGGCTAATTATATCAAGAATATAAGCATAATGTTCATTGGGTAAACAAGCCTGTTGTTCCCTGCACAACAAATGTCTTACTTTGCCTGTATTCCACAGATAGTCCAAGCAGTTGTTGAAGTAAAAGCTGGAATTCCTCAACTACAAAGGCTTTCCTTTGCTGTTTTCTGCATTAATTTTTTGGAGCCTGAACATGCAGCTGAGCCCCAATAATAAATACTTAAATAATATTCCGCATAAAAGTTATGTAAATATATCAGTTAGTGGCGTGTAATTTTTTTCCCCTGTTTGATAATTCAGAATAAATGGCTTCCTTTGTTTACAGGTGATTTTGTTTTCAAGGTTTATAGAGTTTACTTTTTTCTGCTAAAGTGAAAGCTGTTAAATCAAAGATGTCTTGGATGTCCCAACACTGATATTTACGAATAGTTATAGGTTTTGTCTCTTATTTAATCCACGGTACTGGTGTAAAAAAAAGAAAACTAATTTATAAAATTAATATGATTGGCATAAGTGACTTATATCTTTTAAAAATTAATATATTTAGGATACTTTATTTTTTAATATAAATGTTTAGAGTTTAAATCTGAATCATTGATTTATAATAAATTATGTTGATGAAAGAATACTCACTTTATATAAATTTATAATCCCCATTATAATTTAGTTGCTGTTAGTTCAAATCTTAATCTTATAAATTATTTTGAGAGTGAAATATCTAACTTATACATAATTAGTTTTAAAAAAAAATTTATTTCGTACTTTTTTATTTTAAAAAAATAAAATAAAAATTAATGAATGATTATTTAAAGTATGAGAAATTGACAGACTAATAAAAGAGAGAATAAATAAATATAAAAGATAAATTAATTTAAAATAATTATAAAAATAAATTAATTTCAAAATTATAAAAATAATATTTCTTTTATTAATAATATATTACTAGCTGTTTTTTGATGGCTAAAAACGAAAAATGGCTCAAAATAGCGAAATACTGCTACTAACAATTGGCCTACATATATTATCAAATTCTGTCGGTTCTTGACTGATTCCAGAAAGGACAAATGTTTGTTTGGCAGCTATAACATCAAAAATAAAAACAACAAACAGTGTCGGCAATGTTCATTGTTACCGTACGGTACGAAATAATGTTTTATTCCACGTGCCAAAGATAGCTTGATAGAACTTCTACAACGGAATAAAAAAAAATCTGTTTCTTATTTTTGAAGATTAGGATTATTTTTTTATTTTCTGTACAAATTTTAGAAATCAAGAAACAACTTGAAAATAAGAGGACATTTTTGTAAATAAAAAGTGAAAATAAAAACAGCCATAAAGGAACCTAGTTCTTCAAAATCAAAGAGTTAATTGTCACAAAGTATTAGATTTAGATTTTATCTTAAAATCAATTAATTTTAAATGAAGTTGTTGAACTTATATATAAATAAGTGAAACGTGTGAGAATTTCAGACATTGAAAACCCGTCCCACAGGGGCCCCACAACAATCTCATGGTTATATTATAACATGATAATTTGCAAAGTAAATTTCAATGCAAGTTTTCAATAATATAAGAATACTATATAATATGAAGTTTAGATGAGGGGCCATCATGGATGAGGGGCAAAGCCTCCAATGAGAGCTATGCTTGCTCAATTCCCACTCTAATAATATAAAACAAAAACCCACTTAACAAAAGTCTACTCATTTCCCACATCTCACTATTGAGTTTCACTTGATGTAAAAAGTGGAACCACAACTTGCTTTTATTTCATATTCTCATCTTTGGAATATGTGATTTTACATTACAACTCTAGCAAAATGCCACATGGATTTTGGAAGTTCCTAAATCTGATCACATGCACACATGATGGGGAGGGTGCAAAATGTCAAAACTAAGGAATAACATGTCATACATGTGGGGCAACTGATCATAATTGACAAATAACCAGCAAGGAAATTCAGCCCCCACACAAAAATCTATTCCCATTTTCACAGCAAGCAATATAGCTCAGCTTGTTCCTGTACACACTTAAATAGGACACACAAATTCACCGCTTGTTTCAATGTCTTCAAGATCAGCATCACAATCCAAGTCATCCAGGTCCATGCTGCCTCCAATAAGAAGGCCACCAACACTGGGAATACTGAGACATTTTCTTGCCTCTTGTATAATAGACAGGACTTCATCAACACTTTGTGATGGATTATTTACATCATTCATTTGCCAGCTTCCACCTTCCATCAGTTCTATGGGCAAGTTCCTTAAAAACCATGGATGGTTTTTAATTTCTGGTATTGTTATTCTCTGCAAGATGCCTTAAATGTGTCGATAAAATGGGAAAGGAAACTACGTGCATTTCAACCGAAGATTTTCAGCAAGATGCCCAAGACAGATAACAGAATAACCATTGCTAGAATAGCACAAAACACAAACTACATTTACTTGAAGCCAAAAAATGCATTGGTATGAGAAAAGCAGAACTTTTAAGTTACTTGAAAATAGATGTGAAGAGTATTTATGTAAGCAGTTTACTCCAAAATTAAAGCAATCAAATCTTCTATCTTGCAGGAATTTATAGATGAAGAAAATAATTAGATTTTATACATCAAACAAATTACCTTTTCCGGGCTGGCCACAAATATTTGTGATAGAAGATTTCTACACTCCAAGGAAACTCGTACATAATCAGGGACTGAGTACTGGACACCAAGTATTTTCTGTAATAAGCCACAAAAGGTCCAATTGAAACACAATATCAGAGAAAGTATAACTAAATAACTAACTCTTATTTCTAGACTTCATATTGTTTTAAGTATTCAAAAAGTTTACACTTATCACTCACACCAAGGGTTTTTTTAAAGTTTCTTGGATCTGCAGGGTCTTCAAAAGGATAAGCACCAACTAACATCACATATAAGGTGACACCACAAGACCAAACATCTGCAATCTGTAGCTTCCAATGAAAACATAAAGTTAGAAAAGAAAACAACAAACATAATACAAAAAGGACTACATGCATCTAAGTAGTAAAATGCCAAGACCAAGATAAGCAATGAGGAAGAATAGACCATACCTTCCCATCATATTCTTTCCTTGTAAGAACCTCAGGTGCAATGTAAGCTGGAGTTCCTACTGTAGACTTAGGTTGTGAATGCAATACTGATGACTGAAAGACAAGATAAGAATATATAATTAACAAAACTTGAAGGTGGCATCACCTAGAGCTGTAATACTTGTTAACACCACATTACCTTTGAGTAACCGAAGTCACAAATCTTGACTCGCGGTGCTGTACTTCCATCTAAGAGTGTGTTTTCAAGTTTCAGATCTCTGTGACAGATTTGCTGCACAGACATTTCTTTAACTATAAATATTCATCGTGAAGGAACATGATTCATGATTCATGTTTGGTTTAGTTTAGTTTCGTACCATTGAATGACAGTAACTGACTCCTGATATCAATTGCTGAAAGAAAAATCTCGCCTGATGAAAAAAAAAACAAGACTTGAGGACCAAAGTTTCTGAATGAAATAATGCATATACATATACTAGGATAACAGAAACAATTAAGAAAATATGGACGAAGTTAAAGTGTTCAACCTTTTGGGCTTCATTAGAGGTAAACCTTTATAAGAAGATAAAATCTAGACTATCATACTGAAAACTATTGAAATAATTTCTCACTTTCTATATTACCTCATCCTCACTGAATCTACCAGCATTGCATATCCTCTCAAAGAGTTCTCCTCCAGAAGCGTACTCCATTACTATGGCTAGATGTGTTGGTGTCAGCAGGACCTACAAGCAGAGTCATCAAACCTCAAACAAAGCATCTTTTTTCTTTTTTTTAGAACTGATTGGAATATGGCTAGATGTGTTGGTGTCAGCAGGACCTACAAGTATGTTTGCTTTGATAAAATAACTATTACATGATTCAACATAAAATTAAAATTTATTCGAAGAGAAGAACAAAAGACTAACACATGGAAAGGAGAAAATAGAATATTAGTGAAATTTTCGTTAGACCAAAGAGGCTAAGACAATGAGACAAGCTATCCTTCTAATAAATCAAAGAGCCTGCTGCTAAGCAAGAAAATGAAATATACGAAGGAATTTCATGTAATGGGTTTTTCTAATCACCGTCTAAACTAAAAATTGATAGGCTAAAAACAAAAAATGAGAAAAAAAAAATATTGATAAATGCATCCGAATAAGTTTGGCGTGGGGACCTTTGTATTATTCCAAATTCAATTCTGATTCCCAACCCACTTCAGTAAATGGTAGAATAGCATAATAGGAGACCAAAATATGAAAGTAGATCAATATTCAAATTCATAACGAGTGTTTCCGTATCTAACTTCCCAAGCTCCTATCTCTCATGACAGTGGTAACTACTTCCACCACCACACACACACATTCTCTACATCTCACATGCTCATATATTACCGATAAAAAAAAATGGCAAAAAAATATTTCACAATAAAAAAATAAGCAGTGAATTAAACCAAGAAGCTAGATGAGTATTTAAGCACGGATTAGAATAATAGAAAAGGCAGTCCAAATAGTAGGATTCTTCAACACCAAAGAGAAAAATTTCATATTTTGCATAATTTTATCATTTAGCTAAAAATAAAAGACACCCTTTACTCATTATTTGGAGCTTGGGTTTACTTTACTAACCTCTTTGAATCTAACAATATTGGGATGCTTCAATGATCTATGGTTCATGATTTCCCTTTGGACATGCTCATCAATCTGCAGCACATATTGCCAGTGAACCACAAACAAAATCACACACACAAAACATCACAAACCCAGATGGATAATTAGCAACAAAGAGAAGAAAAAAAGAATATGAAACTGAAACTGAAAGGTTGAAGAATATGAACAAACCTTCTGGCCTCTCTCAATAAACTTGACTGCAAAAAGCTCATTTGTGCAGTTGTCCTTGACCAGCTTGGCCACAGCGAAATTCCCAGAACCAATATCTTTGAGAATCTCATAGCGCTCCATGATTTCACTGAAATTCTACTACACAGCCACCCTTGAGTTGTGTGTTTTTTTGACATAAAAGGAATGAAGAGCAGAACTCAACTCAAAGGGTATGTCTTATTCCTACGAGACAAAAAAGTAGGTTCTCGGGGTTGTGAAAATGTCCTTCAAGTCTTAACCAAGACGCAAGCCACCCTTTGACTCCAACGTGGATGTTGTTGTCGATAAACAGAGAGAGTGGCAAATAGGAAAACAGAAAAACAAAAAAAGAAAAGGAAAACTATTGCACACACAAACATTTATGAAACTGATAGGATTCGACACGTGTTTAATTTAATTACATGAAAATAGGAAATCACGTAACTCAATTTTGAAGTAATTTTGTATTGTTTTCTGATTGAAATTAAAGATTCATTTCGCTGATTAACTGTGAACTTCAATGCTGATTTTTATTGTATAAATTATCAAAATAAAATACTAATGTTAATTTAAAAATTGACATTAAAAACATCTAAATATTATTTAATAAGAAAGGATAAAATTGAAGAACAGATTTTATGTATTTTTTATTGAAATTGAAATTTTAGTACCTTGGTCAATGACCATGTTGTTTATGGATAAAAAAAAATACCGACGTTGTTTTTATAATTAAGATGAAAAATGAAATTATAAAAAAAAACAACAAAATTATGCATAAGTAGTATACAAATAGAAAATATAAAAAAAAATATTTTGATAATCATATTATTGATATAAAATTTCATTTTTATAAAAAAATATGATTAATTATTTTTAATATTACTTGAACTAATAATTTATTAGTAAAAATATAAAACTTAAACGCAACATGAGTAGCTATTCTGTCCTTAGTATATCGTTATTTACAACTATTTTAATGTTTGTAATAATAAAAAATGATATGGTGTATATCTTTTTAATATACAAATGATATTTAAAAGTAAATAATTTGCTTGCTCTGTGCTTTTGTTAATAAAATAGAATATTTAAAGAATATAGTGATATTTTAAAATTATAAAAAGTATTTTTCTACTTACTTTTGTTATATACTCTTGAAATTGAAACCTAAAAGCACTTGTGGTTGTGGTTGTGGAACACCGGCGGGACCTGCGGAAAAATATTCTTCCTAACTTCTATAATTATTTTTAGGAAGCTATTTACAAGGAAATAGATTATTCTTCACCTTTATGCTTTGTTATTCTCATGCAGAAACATGTTAAGGTAGTTGAATTTAAGACTTTTAAGTAAAGTTTCTAATACAAATTTTATAGTAAAAGACAAAAATTTAGTAATAAAATTTTCGAAATATACTAGCAGTTATAAAAGGTTAATAAATATTTTATATCAATAATATATGTTAAAGTGTCAAGTTAATAATATTGTTTATAGTAGATAATTATATAACGGTCGCTAGATCGCTAGATTTATCAAGAGATAATTCAAGTTAGTAATGAATTGATTGTAATTAAGTGTGTGTTTGGTTTGAATTTATAAACGTAAGTTTACACTCTCTCTCCACGTCCATATATGCATTTATAGAGAAATTGAAATTTTTTCCTTATGATGAAACGTGATTTTTCACGTTTGAACGCCAACTCAAACACGCTATAAATAAACTAAAATGCTTCTGCATCAACTAAAATAATACAATTAAACATTGTATAATTAAATGAACTACCAAAATATATATATATATATATATATATATATATATATATA